GTGTGTGCGGGTCAACAGTTTAAGCCCGACTTTTGTGTCACTCCAATAATATTTCCGGTGCACTTTTCCGCCCGACACTTTGGCAAATAAATGTTGGGCAGAGAAAGTGACATGGAAAAGTCAGTAGGGTTTGGAAATTAATCATGAAGGAGGTGGTTTTAGGGGTATAAAATGGTTCCCTTTTATCATAAGTAAATTTTTTATTGCCTACTTTTTGGGGATATTTTTTCCCCTATTTCCCTTTTCCCCTTTTACTTCTTACTTCACCTTAATTTAAGTTAAAATTTCCCCCTCAAGTATAGTTTCTCATTTTCCTCACCACACATATTCCCTGCATCTGCTCCTATATATATATCAACATATTCATGATATATCCTTTCTCTATTTGGTGACGCCTGCTGTTCCCCCCCTTGTAATGCCATAAAACTTCTTCTGGCGTTGAGCTTGTCCAGGAAATTGACTTGAATTATTTGGCATTTGGCATATAGCATAGCATATCGCAGCACATCGCATGTCGCACCCCACAAAACCAATAACTTAACCAGCGATTGCTCGAGCACCCCCTTTGGAATCGCCCAATTTCATGGCGGCGGCTGTCGGTCGTCGTTGTCCCCCTCTCTGCTAAAAACTCACTCCCCCCCTTTGCCCACTGATATTTCGGGTTCTTTCGTCACGAAGCTTTCGTCATGAAGCCACTGACTGACTGACACAGCGACGGACGTACTTTATTTACGTACTGGCATTTCGAATAACAAGAACGACGAATGCCAACGTTTAGTCATTCTGCTAAAGGATACCAAGGGGTACACTTTGAGAAATTAGCATAGATTGGGAGTTATTATTAAGTTGAACTATTAGAAAGTTTGTTATGTGAAGAAGAATTCTGTATTCTTCATGATTTATCTCATGTATTAAATTTTACTTAGCAATCTGACGAATCTAAGACAGTCTACAGCTCTTCTTTTACCAACTTTAATGAATAATAATTATTATTTATACATTTTTCATAAATGAAATCAAAATTAAATAATCCCCAGTGCCCCAGTGCTCTATCCCCAAGAGTGATCTTCAATCTAAAACCCCCAAATAAGAGCTTGAGCCTGGGCAGAAATTCGCTGGATTTCTCTGGCCAAACACAGCAACCGCAAATGTGTTTGTGCGTGACTGCGGGCAGGGCCACGCCCCAGTTGGCAACCAACGCCCACGCCCTGCAGCCCCACCTAACCATATCCATATCCCCAGATATATATATATATAGTACGAGTGTGTATATATGTACACCCCACTGGAGCCCCAAAGGCAAAGTGTTGAAAGTGGAATTATGTGTGTTTGTGTTGACATTATAATAATGGTTTGGTTTATGTTTATAGTCTGCTTCATGCAACCGTACACATGTTCGTCCCTTCGTTCTGTCATCTTTCGTCCTTGCCCCTTGCCTCCACCCATTACCATTTCGTTTCTGGTTTGGATTCTGATTCCTATTCCTAACCGACGACTCCCCTTGCAACTTTTCCTTCTCTCTCTCTGTGTGTGTGCTTTGATTACTATTCAAATATTGTGACATTGTGAAAAATAAACAAATTTGCATTATTTATTTTCATATTTGTTTGCTTTTCGGCCTGACACTGACTCCGAGTGTGAGTCCTGAGTGAGTCCTGCCCTGGTCTAAGCTCCATTGCTCCCTCCCTCGCTAGGGAGGGCCTCTCTTCAACCATCGTCCGAAAATGAAAACTTTTCTTTCGCTCGCCACGCTGGCAAAGTTTGCTCGTAATTTTTCCAACAATTAATAAAACAAATTATGCATTGAAAAGAGGCAGCAGCAGCAGCAGCAGCAGCGAGGGATGTTTTTACATTCAAATTTGATATCTACAAAGAGCCTAATATATGAGGGGACGACTGCCCAAAAATGTTGCTGCCCAAAGTTAGGTGAGGGAGGGAAGAGACTGCCAAGTATCTAGGGAAATTCGAGAGGAAAATATACGCTAATTGATTCTTAATTTGGAATTTAAGAAACTGAGAAAATGTGCAAAGCAAATTATAGTTTTTTTTAAAATCTCTTTAAGACGTTTTTCACCAATATTCTTTTTTTTTGAGAGAAAATAATGTGGTTCTTTGTGAAAAGTCGCTCATAACATGGCTAAAAGTTATGGGTATATTAAAAGTCATAGCTCTACGAGTTTGTAATCAAATTCCCAACAAAACTGCATTCACAGCTAAAAATCTTAATTTTTGAAAATTATTAGTAATAAAATATGATGTTAACCCTTATCGGAAATGCTAGTTTTGGGTTATCCCTATTATCCCCCTTAAACTGACAGGATTATTCCCATAATTAAGCCAATAATAGTCCTAATAAGGAATACCATACCAAGTTGGATTCGTTTTTAAATTTTCAGCAAAACAGCATTTAAACATAAATAAAAATTCAAACATATAATGTTACCAGAATGACCCTTATCGGAAATGCAAAAGTGGATTTATCCCCACCATTTGCTCCCAAAAGTGGAAGTATTCTTCCCATAACTCAGCCAATAATGGTCCAAATATGGAATGTAATACCTCGTTGAGTTTGTTTTCAAATTTCTAGTCGATCTGCATTCACAGTTTGAAATGTCAAATTTGATCAATTTTTTGAAAATTTTGATGATGGTACCCCTTATCGAAAATGCGAAAATAAATTAGCCCCGATTCCCCTCCAAAGTTGGTAGTATTTTCTTCATAACTAAGCTACTAAAAATCCAAACATTAAATGCCATTTCTCTATGAGTTCGCATTTAAATTTCCTACAAAATTGCATTCCCACCTAAAAATTGAAAGTTTGTGCCATTTTTCACAAAAAAAGATGAGGGGCAACCCTTATAGAAAATTGAAAATCCGATTTCTCCTTATTTTCCCCTCGGAGCTACAGCATTTTTCTCATAACTAAGCCAATATTGGGTCGAATGTGTGGAATTTAATGCCTCGTTGATCTTGTTTTTTCATTTCTAAATGCATCTGCATTCAAGGCTAAAATTTTTAACTTTTGCTGAAGTAACAAACGAAAAAACACAAAGAAAATATCAAATTTTTGGCAATTACTGATTTCTGATTCTGATACGGCCAACATACTTGGACCTCTGTAACCTCTTTCTATCAATCAAAACCTCTTTTTTATCACACAAAACAAAATCAAATCAAATCCTGAGACCTATCATTCTATTTACTCAACAAAAAACATCAAGCAAAATCTGTATATAAATGGGAAGTTTAGCTGTTTTTGCCCTCTAAATATGTGTCCTCTTATGAAAAGTATATGTCAGAGAGATCCCTCGCTCTCTCTCGCTGTAAGTCATCCATTTCTACCCAGCAGAAGCGGCAGCAGTAACCACAGCTGCGGTCATGACAAAGTAAATCTAAAATACGCAAAATATTGTGTGTCGTGTCATTAGTTTGTGGCGCCTCAAAAGAAGGCAACGTTTTCTTGGCATCGCCGCCTTTTTTGCCGCATAAGTTGTGATTTATGAGCCGAGGCAGCAGCACCACAAGCACACCAGCACCTTGGGCCAGCAGCAGCAGTTCCTCTCCAGCTACCAGCACCCAACATCTCGTATCTGGTATCCTACATCCGACAACATCCTCCATCTCAGATCATCACGCGTCCCCTGGACGTTGGTTGGGCGTTCATTGGGGGATGGGAGCTAAGGGGGGTGTAAGGAGCAACGGTGGCGGCGGCCTGTGAAAAGCCATAAAGTGCAAATGGTGCCCAGGGGAATCCATCAAACAGCAAAAGCTGCCATAAAACGACACAAACATGTGCGCAACACCAACACCGCGCGGCAAAGTGGAAATGCTATGGAGGTTGCCAGTTTGGATGGGAGGGGGGTTGGTTGGTTGGGATGTCCGGATAAGGTAGCTGAAACGGAGACCCGGAAATAGATACCCCATCAAGTGGTCAACATTCGTTGGACTAACTGCCTCTCTGTCTCTCTGTCTGGGTGTGTATCTGAGCCACCAGATTGGATATCAGTGTAAACATCAAAGTAGTTGGCAAATCACTCACACGTAGCCAACTAAAAGCGCTGTGTGGACCAGGAAGAGGATGGCCAAGATGGTTAAGATGGCTTTTCTCTGGCCGTGTAGAAGGAGATAGAAATGGAGATTGAGTATGACAGGAGGAGGGAGGGAGGATGGGTAGTTGGGGAGTTAAAGAGAAAGTAGCCATTCTGTGCACGGCATACAAATTGGCAGCCGTTTCGGAGACCACACTGAGCGAAATAACGACTCGACTTGATTAAGTTGTGTGGCGTTGGGATGTGATAAGGAAGGGGAGTGGGAATTGGAATTAATACAATAATGGGGACGGACAAGCTACTAAATGTGGTTTTGGCTTGGAGAGGCGGTTTCTGCTTTTGTAGCGACTTTCTGACTAGGTGACTGGATATCCCATATACTCCTATATATATATATATATATTCTTCGATTCATACTTTGACTTTCATCAGAGAATCTCACAAGGCTTTCAATCGAATTTGATATTCCATATTTGAATGCCATTGTTAGAGGCGAATTTGTCAAGCTTTTCGAGTTACACTGATTTGGGGAAATGTTATATTTCCTTAAAAACAATCTAAAAAAAATCTTAATAAACAAGCAAAACAAATGTGCAGCTTGCTTGAGACTTAAGTTACAAACTCTCTGAGGTATGACACTTGCTATTTGGCTTATAATGGCTAAGGGTAAATGGGTGTTTGAAGTGAAGTTTCAGGTTACTTCTTACTCCAATTTAATGTCAAAACTTTACCAAATTTCCACCTGAGACAAACTAAGCAGTTAAGTTCAAATGTTAACTTATTAAAAACACCAAGAATGAGCTTTCAAAATGTAGTTTCGGGGCACCTTTTATAAAGGTTACACTTTCAAAATCTAATATTTGGTAAATCCATCCTCTAGAGATTTAAAAAACTTTCAAAACTTTCAGATACACCTTAAGTAAACTTCATAGAACACCAACGAATACTCACCAACAATATTAAGGTAGACAGAGTGTCCAATTGGGGGCGTGGTCGATATCTGACATTCATAGATTCCAGAATCCTTTCGTTGAGCATAGCGTATACGTAATGTCCAATCCTCGGCGTGCGGTGAATGCATGGCTTCGAATCGCTGGTCAGAGGTATAGGTGTAACGGCCCACAGTCAGCAGGTGTATATCCCTGTGCCGCACCCAGGATACCTGCAACAACAAAACGGAAGAGGAAGAGAAGTTAGAGTTAGTAAGAGGGCAGCACATAGTCCGGCGTCTGGCGACAGGTGAAATGGCGTCGAGAAGCCTCCAAAGAGCAGCGCCAACAACTGACTTTTGGGGGCTTTTAATTGCGCGCTTAGTTATCGATTTGACTCTTGTGTGTTGGCCTCTGTGTGTGTGTGTGCGTGTGTGTGTGTGTGTGTGTGTGTGTGTGTGTGCGTGTGTGTGTGTCTGCGTGTGTGTGTATGCGTGTGTGGGTATGAGTATGTGTCTGCTGCCCGATTACAGGACACAAAGCACATCCTTCCCGCCATGCCCAGACACACGCACGAACCACCGGAGACTGTCAAGCGATAAACAATTTAAATGCCAAATTGAAATCGAATGTGGCTGGGCCGAAGCGTGCACTGAGATATGTTTTTATAGCATACTTTTATGCGTTCGTTTAAATTTCCTGGTAGATGATGTTTAGATTACCAATTTCTTATTTGGAATAATCCCCTAATTAATATCAAATATTTAAATAAAAAACCTTAGAACTATAAACAATTCTTCCCAGTGTCGGATTTCTGCTAAGCCTCGAGGATCGTGCCAGAACGCTGCCTTTTGTGGGAATAGTGGAAAAGTCCAGGACGACTCCTCTTCGCTCCTGCATGCTCTTTGAGTTTTATGGTGAATCGCCATCTCCCTCAACCAGCTATCTCACCCCCCTCTCCCCCTCGACGGCTCTTAACTGTTGGCCATAATTACGCGCCGCTTAACTCGCGCTGGAATAGCGGGGTAGGCGGGGTAAGGGGCTCGACTCGAGCAAATCAACAAACGCGCATCGCATTTGGGTGCGGGAAAAAGGATTTTCGGTTTCGGAACGTTGACATCGAATGTGGTCTGTGGTAATGGTGTGCGTGTGTGGATAGGGGCTCCGCCATTGAGGATTTGGGATTTGGGATTTTGTTGACTTTCTCCCACTCCTGCCCGCATCTACATACTACATATATATATCTATATGTACTGACCACCCATGGACGCACACGCCTGGCTTTTGCATGTTTAAATGCGAATTGGAATCGAAAATTTTGGGATGATTGGCAAATGGAGCGAGCGGAGTGAGAGCAGATGTCCCCCTCTGCCAATAATACACTCCTCGTACCCCTCCTCATCCACTCTTCACGCACTACACACATTTTCATATTTTCCTGTTTCGAATGCACTTGAAAAGATACACTGGGAAAAGCTGGCTAAGGTTTGAGGGGTTTTATATTGAGAATAAACTTGAATGGAAGGGAATCTGAATCGGTGAGAAAACTGAGGGTTATTGCCAATGAAATATATAAAAAATATTATTTAAAAATATATTTCAAATACTTTTATACTTTCTAAAGTTAAAAACAAGCAAATATCTGATAAATCTTACTTCAAAAACTTGGAAAAGTTAATCAAAGGTGAGCTGTTAAAACTCAAAATATCTTTCTGATTTTTATCCCAAATCTTCTCAGATAGTTTTCCAGCTAATAGAAACCTTTCACTACCTACTTTTTCTCGCTGTGCAGCAGAGCTTTCCCAACATCGAAGTCAATTCATTCTCTACGCCCTGGCAGTTGTAATTATTTTAAGGGACTCCCCCTCTCTAGCTGGCTTTTCCCCCTTTTCGATGAAGCATTTAATTGTGCTTTTGTTTCAAAATTCAGTTTACTCGAGTCCCAGTCCCAGTTACAGTCCCAGTTCCCAAACTCTACTTCTACTAACTGCTGAAAATTCTAGTGGGTGGACACATATATTAGTCCCTCTGACTATTTGTTTCCAGCTGCCTGCTTTATGCATTTCCCACTAACGATGGCGCAGCAGTTTGGTTCTGTTTTTGTTATGGGAAATGGAAACCAAACCCACCTCAATGTGGGGGCTGAAATCAGATTTAAGACTGGCCTACTGACTGAGTTCGATCCAACTTTAAAGTTATCATATCTAAAATATACATTAAAGTTAGTCGCGTTTAACTAATGATAATATCTGTAATTAGCTTCAGGCCAAACCTCAAATCGTATCCAAATGGCCTATTTAATGCTCTTGCAAAATCACCCAAAAATTGCCATGTTTCGGCCATCATTTCAGGCCTCATTCTACCCTCATTCTACAACTTTTTTTAGTTGCTGTTTTAAGTATGTTTGTTTTAGTCATTACGCAGCGAGCGCAGTCTGTAATTATTTTGTGCGGCTTTCGGTTGTGTTAATGAATTTGTTGTACAATTTGCAGGAAATCAACGGGCAGAGGGGACGAGGGGGTGGTGCATTCTGGGCATTCTCTGTGATGGCAATTAGATAATTACGACAACATTATTAGCAAATTAATTTTGATTTTATGCGGCGGATGCCAAATGGTAAAGCGAGGAGGCTGGGAACCCTTTTTCTGTCCTATATTCTGTTACATAAACCGCCCCTTGCCACCCCATACCTGCTACCATCATCATCTTTATATATAAAGGGATATACCCTAACACCCTGCTTCCTCCTTCTTACTCCTCCTTCTCTCCTTGCAAATTGCACCTTTTGCTATTGTTGTTGTTGTCAGATAGTGCAGTTTGGCGGCTGGCCAAATCATTTGGCAAGGAAATGTGTGAGAATGGAAATGCAAGTATCGGCGGGTGGGTAGGGGGCCGTGGCGATTGCCTTGGCCCATTTAGCAGGGCCAACATAAATTTCAAAGGTCTCTGTCTTTAGTTACAAAAATGAAATAATATTCCAATGAATATCCCAACTAAAAGTAACTTTAAACTAAAAATCACTTTGCTTTTTCATAACCTAAATGAATTCAAATATTTTCCAGGACAAAGAACATTCCTGAAATGGCTTTCTTTAATATGAAAAAGCTGCTGATAATGAAAAGGAAAGGGGAAAAGAGGAAGATTTAGACCAAAATCTATATCACAAAAACCAAACTGACTTAATCGCCAGAGTATATAAACGATATATATCCTAAGAAATATCTAACATATCAAATACAATATACAAATCATATATGGAAAAAGCTGATGTTGGGCAACCTCAAAAATGCTGGCAAATTGTTTCGCTTTCCACTGTAATTGGCGAAAACTCACTCACTCACATACTTTTTGCCAATCGAGAAACAGAAAGAGTTCAGAGAGAGAGAGAGAGAGTCTGCCTGCCACCAAGTAAGTCCTTGAGCTCGCCAAATATTGTTATGCATAAATTTGATTGCATTTTGATTCGAGTTGGATTTCGCATTCCACTCAACTCCTCATCCCAAACAGCAATTCAGCTTAAAAATCGAAAAACAAAAATCAAAAATAGCGAAGCGCAATTTATGGTGCTCCAAAAATGATTTCCGCTGCTTCGGAAAAATCGTGAAGTGGGCTTTTCAGTTGTACTTCCAAAGAGATGATGATGATGATGATGATGATGGGGATAATGATGATCTGAAGCTGAAGCTGAATCTGAATCTGTAGCCATTATTGTCTGCTGCAATATATTTCCATTCTGATTTCGATTCACTTCGACTGCACCAGCACAGCTGCCGCCAATTCCGCGTTGTCTGTTTTCCAGAAAATGAAGTAGTGACCCCACCCAAGTGGTGCAAAATCCCAAAGCCCCCAGTCCGATCCCCTTCCCCAATCTGAATCTCCACAACCCATTTTCGACCCTGGCTAGCGCTAGCAGGCAGCTGGCAGCAGGCGGGGCATTTCTGTATATAAAAACAGTTACCAGCCATTTCAAATATGCCTCTGGCTTTTTTGGCATCCACGGCCTGCCCTTTCCTGCCCCTATTTTCTCTCTGCCAAAAGAGGCGTGGCCCTCTGGCAGGAAGCGAAAATCCAGCAGAAAACAGCAACAGCAACAGCAACAGCAGCAGCAGCAGCAGCAGGAGTAGAAATGAGCAAAATTATGAGTGCAGAATTTTCTAATTTAATGTGATTATTATTTGCACTATCTACCACCTCCCATCTCCGCCTCCTTGCCTAGCCTTGCGCTGCTTGCAGGGCTCAATTTATTTAGCGAACATTTTCTGGCCAACATCACGGAAGTGTCATTAGTCAGGTTTCTATGCCATCGAAGCAGTGGTGGTGGAAGAGGAGGAGCATGGAAGAGGGGGAGGTGGAATAGGGATCTGTAAATTGGGAGATGCTGCTGCTGCTGGGTAGCAAAATATTTGCCTTTAAATTTGAAATCAAATTAAAACGAAAGCAAAACACGTGAAAGGAAATTAAATGGAAATTGATTTAGTTTGCAAAATAAGCTAAAGTAAGTTTTAGGGAATTTAAAGTTTAAGATTAATGAAGAAAGTTTAAAAAATATTTTAAAAAATTAAGATAAACAGTGGAAAAGTCTTTGGGAAAATGAAGGTAACTAAGCATTTTTATAGACATTTTCCAGCATTGTCTTTACGAGGATTGGTTAGTTAATAAAATCTGAAGAAAAATCCAGTTTAATAAGCACGAATTTTCGAATTTTCCAAGCTTATGTTGCTTAGCTGGAAAAATAGCAAGAAAAATCCAAGTAAATAAGCTCGTTTTTTATCAATTTTTAAAGCTTAAATTGGTTGCTTAAAAAATCTTTAAGAAAAATCAAACAGAAAACTCAATAAGCGCAAATTTAAATCTGAAAATTGACTAAAAAATATATTAAAAACCAACCAAAACTTAACTTAATCACCTTCACTAATAAACAAGTTTAGATTTAGCCAGTTCACAAAGAGGTTCATAAATCAAACACCCACAAAGGCCTACAAAGAATAGATTGTAAGCCTGAAAAGCCGGAAAATGCTGAACTAAGAATAATAATAACAAGAAATATGCCTTGTAAATGGCAGTCATGAAATCTTTTCAGCGATATATCAGATATCTATATACATATCTATACCCCTCCCCCCCCTCTGTGAGAAGGCAAACTCGAAGCATTGTTAATCACGAGAGTCCCGGGAAATCTTAAGACAGTTTTTTCCCCAAACACCACCCATCCTCCTTCATTTTCCTTAAAGAA